AGAGAGAGAGAGAGAGAGAGAGAGAGAGAGAGAGAGAGAGAGAGAGAGAGAAATAGTTCCCAGTAGATCTGATGCTAATAGCTAAAGTAGACTAAACAAAAAGCGCATGCTGAGGACTTACAGAGAGCTGAGATCTCTCCTGTACCATCCAGCTGAGAAAAGCTTGATTTTCTCCCAGTAAGCGCAGAATTGCCAGTCAAACACCTGCTGGGAGCTTTGTCAAGCAATCTATCTTCACCCCTACAGGGCTTAGATTGGGCCCCCACAGCCCACCACCAGACAGTTACCAGCATGTTAACGGAGCCCCGTTAATCACATCTGTCTCATCCCGACGCCATGCTTGTCTCCCAGAGAAGGAATTCTTCTCTGCTTCCATTGCATCCTCACAGTGCTGTCCAGCTGAACTTTTCCAGATGGTGCAGGGTCTGTTACATTCTGGACCAAAAAAGGATTTCATTGCACCATCGGTGGCTCACTCTGATGACTTTGCCCATCACTTTAGGGATAAAATGGCTCAGATTTGTCACAAGCTGGACTCTACAGTTGATGTAGTACCTGTACAGGAGGTGTCCAGAGCACCATCCGGTCCATCCTTGTTGGATAAGTTTCAATTGTTGCGGCCTGAGTACTTGTCTGGACTACCACTTGTTTACTTGACCCTTGCCCTTCTTGGCTGCTTACCAAAGCCAAGGACAGGATGTATACCTGGATCCAGGAGGTAGTTAATGCCTCACTGAGGGTCAGGTTCCCACCCCCTTGAAGGAGGCAGTGATCAGGCCCATTCTGAAGAGGGCGAGCCTGGACCCAGAGTTGGGCTCTAATTATAGACCAGTGGCCAACATCCTGTTCTTGGGCAAGGTGCTCGAGCAGCTGGTGGCCAGGCAACTCCAGGCTCTCTTGGATGAAACTGTTTCAGTGGCTTTAGGCATTGTTATGGGACAGAAACTGCCTTGGTCACCCTGTTGGTTCTCCTGAACCTCTCAGCGACTTTCAATACCATCGACCATGGTATCCTTCTGGATAGGCTGGCTGAATTGGGGGTTGGCGGCACTGCTGACCGATTAGCTGACCAAGTCCAGAAAGTGGTGCTGGGGGACTACAGCTCTGCGCCATGGCAGCTTTGCTATGAAGTTCCACAGGGTTCCATTTTATCCCCCATGTTCTTTAACATCTACGTGAAACTGCTGGGAGAGGTCATCTGGAGGTTTAGGCCACAGAGTCATCAGTACACTGATGACACCCAGCTCTACCCTTCTTTTACTTCGAATCCAGGTGAGGCAGTAGATGCCCTGAACCGGTGCCTAGCTGGGGTAACAGGCTGGATGAGGGCCAATAAATTGAAGCTTAATCCAGACAAGATGGAGGTCCTGTTGGTAGGCAGTTTAGCCTCCCAGGTAGGTGTTTCTAACCCTGTTCTGGATGGGGTTGCACTCCCCCTAAAGGATAGGGTGCACAGTTTGGGAGTTCTCCTCAACCCAGAGCTGTCCCTAGAATCCCAGGTGGCGGTGGTGGCAAGGAGTGCTTTCCTTCAGCTTCGGCTGATCCATCAACTGCGCCCCTATCTGGATGGGCAGCGGCGACCCATGCCCTGATAACTTCCCAATTGGACTACTGTAATGCGCTCTACGTAGGACAGCCCTTGAAGACGGCCTGGATATTTCAACTGGTTCAGAATAGAGCTGCCTGATTGCTAAAAGGAACCGGCAGGTATGAACATATGACACCAGTCCATTTCCACCTACCCTGGCTTCCAGTTGAAGCCTGGGCCCAGTTTAAGGTGCTGTGATGACCTATAAAGTTCTAAAGGGCTTACGGCCTGGTTATCTGAAGGAGTGTCTCCTTCCATATGTGCCTGCCTGCCCCTTAACATCTAGGGCAGACACCCTTCTCTGGGTGCCTTCTCTGAAGAAGATCAGGAGGGTGACTACCCAGAGAAAGGCCTTCTCTGCAGTGGCACCCCATTTGTGAAATTCGCTCCCCAAAGAGGTTCACCAGGTGCCATCACTTTATTCTTTTTGGCACCAGGCCAAACCCTTATTTTCCCAATGTTTTAGGACCTGCCTGTTTTAATTGCGGTTTTATTATTAGTTAAATTTTAGGACACAGTGTTTTAAAAAATGTTTACATTTTGTATCGTTAAACGGTCTTGAAACTTCAGTAATGGGATGGTCTACACAAGTAATAAATAAATAATCAATCAATCAATCAATCCCTGGCAACTTAACTCCCCCTCGTTTTAAACACACTAACCCCAGCACTGTTCTGGCTGCCTCATGTCCTGAATCAATTCAAGATGAATCAATTCCAGTCAAGACAAGACGAATCTATTCAAGACTAATCAATTCAAGTCAAGACAAGACAAATTGATTCACAGAATCATACAATAGTAGAGTTGGAAGTAGCTGTGAAGGCCATCAGGTCCAACCAATGTACACCATCCCATTCAGATGGTGTTCAGTTTCTTTTTAATAATTTGTCTCTTAATGTGTGGATTTTTAATAATTTGCGTAGGGCCACAAGGATTGCAGGGGAAGCTGTATGAGGTGAGATTGAGGGAACTGGGGTTTTTCAGCCTGAAAAAGAGAAGACTCTGAGGGGATCTGTTGGCAACATATAGGTATGTGAAGGGGTGTCATGTGGAGGTGAGTCAAGACCTGTTTTTCCCTATGGAGGAGGGCAAGACGTGTTCCAATGGAACAATGCTCAGGGAACCAAGGCTCAATT